CTTTCAGTGTGTACTCTGTGACTGAACACATAGTAGGTGCTCAGTCGCTATGGGGACAAGCAAAAGCTCCTCTTGAACTCAGAGCAGGGCCTTACCTCTTAGGAGTGTGGCTGGAAGGCTAGAGCCGCCAGTCCCGTGTTTTGGAAAGCTACTCTTAACCAAAACCCTTTGCCTTGCTCGAGGGGGCTTCAACAAGTTCATGGGGGAAAAATTCTATGATTTTGCCTTTCTATGTGTCAGTGCATTTTTTGAAGGCCCCTCTTTCAGCGGACCAGGTCTGGGAGTGCTGGGAGCCCTGAGAAGAGGCGTGTATAGAATTCCCGTGGGAGCTGTTCGCTGGAAGCCCTCACTGTGACTTCCAGGAGGCACCTCTCCTCTCTAAAGCAAAGGCCAACAGTCCTGAGGAACAACTTTAAGAAAAAGCATAGGGGAGGGAGGGAAAAAGAGGGGCCGATACCAAGGGCTCAAATAGAAAGCAAATGTTTAGAAAATGACGATGGCAATATATGTACAAATATGCTTGATACAATTGATGTATGGAATGCTCTAAGAGCCCCCAACAAAATGATGTCAAAAGCATCAATCAATCTATCAGATAATAGAAAGCATAAATCCCTGAAGTGGCCAGAGCAGTTGAGAAGAGAGGGCTCCCTCCCGGGTTTCTTCCCTGCTGCCATGTGCCAGGCGCCATGAACAGCTCAGTACGCAGGACACCACTGTAATTCTCCTGGAATCCAGGTGCCTGGGGTCCGTGGGCTTCGGGTGAGCACACACACCATCGCCACCGCCTTAGCCATTTGCTCTTAGATGTTCTTTTGAATCTGGAGCCTTGAAGAAAGGGATTTGCCGATGCTACCTTTCTAGGAGCCTTGGTGGCAAAGTGGTCTACACAGAGAACCACGAGCCTCAAGGTCAGCAGTTGGAAGCCCCACCCCCCAGAGGGAGGGAGACCATCTGCTCTCACAAGGACAATGACCCTGGCACTCCACGGGAGAGGCTGGGGAAACTGAGCGCTAGCAGAACCATGAGGACTCAAAGAAAATGTCCTGAAAATTATTGTGGTGGTGACGGAACCACCCTTCTTTACATGATTGAACTATTTATTACATGATA